CTTCTACCATTTTGAAAAGTCTTCATTCAGCAAAATTTGGAACATTGCACCAGTTAAGTTTGCTGTTGTTAGAAAAAGTGGTGCAACTTTTGAAGACTTATACATTGACGGTATGTTGACAGTCAAAGAAAATTTTGACAGAAAGTTCTCAAAACTCGAAGAAGGTAAAGCATACAAACTTGTTATACCTTATGAACCAAAGAAAGCAGACGACTATGAATATTATGAGTCTAAGATAGTTGAAGTTCAAGGTAAATTGGGTAAAAAGATTTTAGAGTCTAAGCCAGTGTTTGCCCCTAAAGAGGAAGAGAACATTGACATTGACCCAGAAATGTTCTAAAAATAAAATTTTATTTTTACATGTCAAATTTCTTTTTCTCTGGAACTGGTTCAGGTTCTTTCTTCTCTTCTACTTTCTTCTCTTTCTTTTCTCTCTTCTTCTTCTCTGGTGGAGTTATGTCAAATTTCTCCGAACCATATTTCTGTAAAAGTTCTTTGTCCTTTAATAGCTCATCTATTCTGTTTCCTATTTCATCTTCAAGAACAGCGCATGTGTCTTCTTTGCATTCTAAGAACTTTTGTTGGACTTCATCTTTCCAAGAGGCGTCATCTCTGTCAACAAGTCTGTCATTGACAAACTTAAAGACTTCTCTGCCTAATGTTTTATGGTTCTTGTCATATTCCCAGAAACAGAACTTTAGAACAAATTCACCTTTCTTGTTTACACTATGTAAGATTTTATGGTCGACAGATGTTTTGCTGTCAAAAAGCTTGTCTCGAATATAGATAGCGAAATCGCTAGACATTTTCTAAAAGATAAAAATTTTAATTTTTCTAAAAATATGTTAGAAAAAAATTTTTGACATTGACAAGAAATTTGAGAATGTTTTAAACAAGAACAAGAGGAAGTTAGAAAATGCTCAGATAAAGCCTATACATGACAAGTTCTTATTTGCTCAGAATGGTATAACAGGTCTAATTGCACCACCTGGGTCGGGTAAGACTTTCACTTATCTTAAAATGGCTGCACAACAACAAGAACTAGATGAGAAGAACCCATTTTATGAGTTAGTTGTCATTTGTAGTACTTCTGGTCAATTTGACCAAACCGTCAATTCGTTCAAAGATATTATAAAGAAGTCTAAGTTAGTATGTATAAAGGATACTGAGTTGTTAGATTGGATAAAGAAGTACCAAGAAGAGTTTTGAAGTACAATGCTATAAATGAGTATATAAATTCGAAGTTTAAAGACCCAAATGAGGAAATGCAGAGAATATTAGAGAAGAAACACTTCAGAAACAAACAGAAAGAGATAGAATACATTTCGAAGAAATTGCAATCTTACGATTGGAAGACTTACCCTCATAGATGTCTTCTTATCTTAGATGACTTTGCTTCTCATCCTTTGCTTAAGAATAGAGAACAAGATATGTGTCGAATTCTTAAGAAGCTCAGACACTTTAACATCTCAGTTGTCATTTGTGTACAGACAGCAAAGAGTTTAAGTAAGGATGTAAAGAGAATACTTACTGACATTGTACTTTTCCCCGGATTGTCCGAAGACGATTTCATGGAACTTATGAAAGAGTCCATGGCAGGTAAGTTTGACAGACATGAACTATGGGAGAAGTATAAAGTCATACAAGACCCTCATACTTCTTTCAGAATTCATATCTACGCGAACAAAGTTCAAATTGTAAAAAGTCAAGCTTGAAAAATGTAAGTGTTTAGTCTTAGTAAGTCTGTTGTGGTGCTGGGGCTGTCGGTTCTTCTGGCTTTGGAAGGCATTCAGGAAGAGGAACGTCAGTCATCCGTTTGTGTCCTGTCGGAAGGAAAAATTTTTCCTGTCGGAAGGGAAAATATTTTTCTGTCGGATGGAAAAATTTTTCCTGTCGGATGGAAAATTTTTTTCTGAAGTTCGACCAAAAAGTTCTCAATTTTCGAAAATTTGAATGGTTTACGGACGGACAACTGGAAAATTTTTTCTTGTCGGATGGAAAATTTTTTCTTGTCGGATGGAAAATTTTTTTCCAGTTGTCGGGAAAATTTTTTCCTGTCGGAAGGAAGGACTCGGAATGCCAGAAGGATTTGACAAGGCAATTTACTTTATAGAGCTACCTGAGCCATCTGAAGTCAAGCGTAAAAATAAAGAGTTCATTTACTCTGCTTGTTTGAAGTTGTCAAAATACTCTGTTATTTTTTCCTTTAACAATGGCAAGTCTTCTTTGAAGGTAAGTATTGTACAACCTTTAATATCATAGTGTGTTTGAGGTAACGTATCTTGAACTATTTGTTTCACATCTTCATTTGGGGTCATTGAAATCGGTAAGTTTTCGCGATAGAACCAATTTCTGTCAGATTTGTAAATCTTAGCAAGGTCGTAAAAGCTTTTGTTGTTTCTTCTGACTAAATGCAACATAACCATATCTCTGTCTTCTTCATTTTCCATCTCTTCAGTATAAATCATATACTTATAGTTCTTTTCCTTTCCTTTTGGTACCGAACGTGGTATTCTTTTCTGAATGCTTTTGTCTTTTGCTTCAAGCTTGTTCTCTAGCTCTTCACGTTCTTGTCTATGAATTTCATCTAACATCATGAAAATATAACAAGCGTAACGAGGTGAAGCCCACATTGCAACAGCATTTACAAGAAGTCTATGTACATACCAGCCTCTCAAACCATTTGGCAAATTCTTGCGATTTTCGTACGGAATCTCGACTCGTGGTTTTTTACCTACTCGCTGTTCTTCACTGTTTTCAGAAAAAAGTATGTCTCGCTGTGCTTCGCTCAAAAGTTCTTGTGTGCTTTGGTTCCTAAACCAGTCTTTAGGAAGCTTAGTATCTGGAGCAAAACATGCTGTCAAAATACTTTGCATTTGGTACATATCGTCTTTGACCGAACGAATGAGACGGAGTTGTTTGTTAAACTGAACCCACTCATATTCTTCATTTATAGCTTCATGGACTATAACGGTTGTTGTGTTCTCTGTTGTTGACATATCTGTCTTTACATACAAAATAAAAAAATAAATAAAAATAAAACTAACTTTATTTTTTCTATCTTAAGGAAATTCATGATTTTCATAGAGTTTTGGCGAGTAGGGAAAAAAACGGTCTAGAGAATTTTCATGATTTTCATAGAGTTTTGGCGACTGGGTTTTTTTATCTACTCGCTGTTCTTCACTGTTTCCGAGGGAAGCAATCTTATGCCATTTTACTCAGAATTTTGTTGCTGAATTCAGCAAAAATATATTTTAGGGTAGAAGGTTAGATCTAACCTGTTTTTTTCACAAGCGTTTTACATGGTAAACGTTATTTTTACATGTATTTTTCAGCAACTTCGTCAAATAATTTTATAGCTTTATCTATCTCATCTACTTCAAACGTTTCTTTACCTTTTATGGGAGCACCATACATTTTCTCAAACTTTTCAAGTAGTTCTGTTTCTGCAGCTCTCATATCGTTAACGAACACAACCTTAACTCTATTGACTGTACTGTCATATCTTTGAGTTATATTATATGTTCTTCCTATCTTATATCTCTTTGTATTGAAGTCCTTCGGTTTCTGAACGATGTAAAGTAAGCCTTCACTGCAACGTTCTGAGTCGAACGAACCATATGTTATGAAGTTATATCCAACAACTGGGTCAATCCCATAACAAAACTATTGGTATAAGACTTTTGTCTATAAGATATGCTGTAGTTCCATAGAATCTTACCGATATCATAAGCTCAGGATTTCTTGTCAAAATTTTCTGAGTTGAAGCAATTCCAACCCAATGCCATGTTTTCTTTCCAGATGGAGATATAATGTCTGACAAAGAATATTTGTTGTATTTCTTTGAGTATCTTACGTTTAAATCACCTATTCTAACCAATTTGGTGTCATTGTCTATCTTTTTAACTGTTTCAAACTCAGTGTTTGTCATTTCTGTTCTTACATACAAAATAAAAAAAAATAAAAAAATAAAACTAACTTTATTTTTTCTATCTTAAGGAAATTCATGATTTTCATAGAGTTTTATGCAAGACCAGGTTTTTTTCCCTGGTCGCTGTTCTTCACGATTTTCATGAGTTTTAGGCAAGGCCGGTAAAATCCGGTCTAGAGAAATTTCACGATTTTCATGAGTTTTAGGCGACTAAGTTTTTTTCCCTGGTCGCTGTTCTTCACGATTTTCATGTGTTTTAGGCAAGGCCGGTAAAATCCGGTCTAGAGAAATTTCACGATTTTCATACGGAATCTCTTCTCTCGGTTTTTCCGAGGGAAGCAATCTTATGCCATTTTACTCAGAATTTTGGTCATTTTTCAGCAAAAATATATTTTAGGGTAGAAGGTTAGATCTAACCTCTTTTCTAACCTCTTTTCTACCCTCTTGAATTTGTCATGATTTCATCGTAAATGTTTTGTCAAGACTTCATCGTAAATGTTTTGTCATGATTTCATCGAAACTAAACATACATGTTTTGTCAAGACTTCTTCGTAATGAGCGTAAATCAGACAAAAATATATTTTAGGGTAGAAGGTTAGATCTAACCTGTTTTCTAACCTGTTTTCTACCCCAGTTATTTTATAAGCGTTTTACATGGTAAACGTTATTTTTTAAATTTTGTGAAAACTCAACGGTTTGACACAAGCCCTAAAAATTATTTTACTCAGAATTTTGGTCATTTTTCAGCAAAAATATATTTTAGGGTAGAAGGTTAGATCTAACCTCCTTTCTACCCCTTTTCTACTACCCAGTTATTTTATAAGCGTTTTACATGGTAAACGTTATGAATTCGTGAGACTCTAAACAGTTTTGTAGCTTCTATTTCTTCGCTGAGGATATCGAATGTTTTAACTATGCCGAAAGTCTCTTTATATTTCTTCTTGACGTCAGATAGAAGGAAATCGTCAGCAGTTGGATAGTTTTTGTTCAGAAATTCTAACATGTCCATTTTATCTTCTGCTGGTTTTTCTGCTTCTTTCTTTAAGTCTGCATAGTCGTTTCTCATACGTTCTATCTCTTTGACGGAGTAGTTATATTTCCTCATTGCTGCTTTACATTTAGAACATTGTGGGTTCAACTTTGCGTTATATTCTGAAACCTTACCTGCTAAAACAACTAAGGCGTCAATTGCTCTCTTCATCTCAAACATAGCGGGTCTTATTTGTTCATTCCATACCTTACCTCTTCTATCTTTATCTCTTATCTGCCATACACATTCTGCAACTAACGAAACAAAGTTGTCGTAGGTCTTAAACTCCCGGGTTTTGTAAAGGTCAGAAACATTTTTATATACCATGTCGCAATCTTTGTCCATAACCTTATGGTTGCAATGAAATCCTAGAAACTCATAGTTTACCTTTCGTATGAACTTCTTTATTTCTACTGAGTCAGTTGCTTTGACTTCTATTTCATCGAATTCAGGAATAGTGAGCTTTTGCTGCTGAATTTCAGGTAGTTTGGGTAAATGGTCAATAATGTCCTGCATTTCATAAAGATACTGTTCATTTTCTTCATCCTGTGCGGTACAGTCTAAATTACTTGTTAAAAGTTCTTGCTTTATCTTCTGGATTTCTGTTTCAAAAGTATATGAAGAAGGAATGAAGCTTTTCATCTCTACTAACATTGACGTAGGATTCATAACTAACGAGTTAGGTGCTGTAGTTGCTAACATGTTCTTACAATAAAAATAAAAAATATTTTTTTAAAAAAACTAACTTTATTTTTTATTTCGGGAAAATTCATGAAAATTCAAGAGGGTAGAAAAGAGGTTAGAAAAGAGGTTAGATCTAACCTTCTACCCTAAATTATATTTTTGCTGAATTCATGAGTTTTGGTTGAAAGAATACGGTGGAGCCAAAAGTGGCTCGACCTCAAAACAAGCATTTTCTGTATAAAATTCATGAAAATTCAACGGGTGAGAAAAGAGGTGAGAAAACAGGTGAGATCTCACCTTCTACCCTAAACATTATTTTTGTGCTATGTTTTCTGTATAAAATTCATGAAAATTCAAGAGGGTAGAAAAGAGGTTAGAAAAGAGGTTAGATCTAACCTTCTACCCTAAATTATATTTTTCAATACTTTTTCAGCACTTTTCCGTAGTTATATATGAAAGACAATTCGAGATAAAAGTCATAGTACAATGGAATAATATGTTGCACACCATTTGTTGTGAACCAAACTTGAAAGTCAGAGAAACTGTTACTAGGTGGTTCGTAGAATTTAGAAGCAAAGTCATAAAAGTCCTTACCAATACATAGAAAACTATTGTTGCTTGAACTGAAACTTGCATGACACATAACATTTTGAGGGTCAAACACGTTTCTATAAACTGTCAAAATCTGCTGGTGGAAGTATAAATTTAAATGGGCCATCTGGTGGTAATGGTTCGTTCTGGTTTAGTAACCGAAGAAATTGTGCCCAAGAACGTTTGTCTACTTCCCAATATAAAAACTCTGTATCCTTGGAGGTTAATTTCAATCTTTTGAAATGAAACGGTGGAGTTCATCTTGTCATATTCTAGTTTCAGATAGTATGTTCCATTTAGTAAAGAGTCGTATTTTTTGAAATTCCCAATAATATTTGTTCATTTGAGTTTGAAAGTCATTTAGAGTTTTCTCAAGACTTTCGTCTGAACGAACTGTAAAGATTCTCATTTCGTCAAATTTGTCTATTAGACCATCAGAACCTTTATACTGCCCATGAAAATATACTGCGAACATAAATGCGTTAGTTCTATTTGAAAACAAAACTCTTCTAAATCCTATTGCCTTTGCATCTGAAGGACTTTGAAGCCAAACGAATTGGATAGTCAAACCTGTATACTCGGGATGAAATTTCTTCATCTGATATTGTCCTACCAGCATTTGTAAAGATATAGTCTAACGGTTTTGTATCTGCTACTTTTGTTCTTTGTTTTTCAACCTGAAGCATTTAATATATGTAAAAATATATTGTTTTAAAATGGTATGCCATATAGCTTCTTGAATTTGTTAAGAAGTATTTGAACGTGTTTTCCATCTGTATCTCTAGTGTTTACATAAGCATAGCCCGCCTTAGTAAAATATATTGTAATTTCCTATAGTTTACGCCGGTATAAAAGTAGAAAGAGTCTTGTTCTTCGCTATAGTAGTAAAAACTCAAACGTATGCTTGCCATAGTCTGTAATTTCAATTGTTTCATCTTCTAGTTCGTCGACAAATTCGAATACAATATCTCTAAATTTGCCTATGTTCTTATTGTTTTCAGAACGAGTGACCCAACGTAAGTTTTCAAGTCTATTGTCGTTTCTTATACGGTTTTATGGTCTACAAAAGGTAAATTGTTAGGATTCAGTATAAAATGAGTTGCAATGACAACATGTTTAAGATAGCGTTTTCCACTCATCTTCATAACAGCATATCCGTTATTTCGCTCCCATTCGCTTAAAACTCTTTTTGTCTTTTTGTTTCTGACTTCAAATGACTCACAACAGTGAATTTCATATTTCTCATCTAACAAACAAGTTTCCCAACGGTCTTCTCCAACAAACTCAGCGTACATTTCAAATAAAAAAATGTCACTTTTTAAAAAATAAATTTTTACTTCATGCAATGCTCACTAACATCGAAAGGCATGTCCATAAGACGTTCTTCTTCTAACCTCTCTAGTCTGTTTGGATAATTTGCACGTGCTGTTTCCAAATCCATTCGTAGCGAAGACCAGCCAGTTTTCATAGACTTTTATGGGTCTTCCCTTCCTATATTTAAAATTCTTCGAAACTCTCCAACCATATTTTGCAACTCTGCTTTTATTCTAGCAGACTTTCTATCCATTCTATATGGGGCATTTTTATAAAAATAAAAAAATGTTTTTTTCTTTACTTTACATAACCACCTGCTGCCATAAGTCTTTGACGCCAACCATACCAGCTAATGAAGGTTGACTTGGTTTAGTTTGGAAACTAAACTTTGGTTTTGGTTTATCTTCAGTTTTTGGTTTTTCTTCTTCTATCGTTTTTCGTCACTTTTCGGTTCCTCTGATTTTTCCCCACTTGCAGGAACAGTTGTGTCGTCAACATCTTCATAAATATCATATGCCATTTGTTTTTGTTTTCCTTTTCAACTTTTTGTGTTTGTTGTAAAGTTTAGAATATTCGACTCTAAGTCAATGAGATGTTTCTAATGAACTGTTGGTCAGTGAAGTAAACTTTTCCATCTGTTGTCTCGAAAGCTCTTCAGACTTCAATATTTTATTTGTGAGGGTCTGTTTCTTTTTTGAGATACTAGCCGTTCCATTTCTATGAAAGTGACTTTGTAGTTAGGGTTTGTATTTCCAGACCTGGCACTTTCTATTATTGAATTTTTTCTCTCATCTGTAAGTTCTTTGACAGGTTTTGACAATGGTTCTGAACTTTTTGTTTGTGGTGTCAAATCTACCGTTTTCAACTTCTTCGGTCATTTCATCTCAGTAAAAAATTTTAGTTTGGTTTGTTTTCAACTGGTTGTTGTTGTTTTTTAAGTCGGTCTAAAACTTCCTGAGGTATAGGAAGAACTTGACAAACACGTTGTGTAACTGCTGGAAGCCGACAAATCCATCTTGAACCCATTTGTCTCAATGCTGTATTGTTCATTTCATCTCAGTAAAAAACTTTACATTCCCCACGTTTGAGGCGGTTGAGGTTGGTTATTGTTTACCCATTGTTGTGCATGGTTATATCCTCTGTTAAAGAATCTTTCACCTTGGTCCATATAGTGTCCTGCTTGGTTATAGTAGTCATTTGCTTTGTTATAATAGTTTCCTGCTTGTCTTCCTACATTGTCCATCCATCCTTGAACTTTTCCTCTTGTTTCAGGATTTGGAATAAGATTTGCTGCATCTCGTGCTACATCCCAACCTTTCTGTACAGTTTGTATAATAGGTTGTGCTTTCTCTTTAAGTATACCTAATGTACTCAAAATCTTCCTTCCAACTCCAAATACACCTCTGGCTATTGTTCCCACTGCGGGTAAAAATCTGGATGCAACTCCTGCTAATGCGCCAAATAAACCCATTTCTTATAGGGTAAAAAATGACGAATCCAAACAAGGACCCCTATGTTTCTAAAGCGACAAAGAAAGCACTCATGATAAAAATCTTTAGTTCAACACCAAATGCTTGGTTTATGGATATCTTGGAAAACATTCCGAGGTATAGAGAAGATGGACCTCCATACTGGCTAATATTTGTCGGTCAAAACACAAGATACTGTGAAGCCATACCATTATGGTCCAAAAATATTTTAGATGTGAAAACTGCTTTGACAATATTCGTTGACAAATACCATCCAACAAAACTGACATCTGACTGTGAAAGTTCTTTCAAATCAGATGATGTAAAAAACTATCTGCGTTCAAAAAATGTAAACCAATATTTCATTGTCGACCAAAACCATTCTGCTCTTGGTGTCATTGACGGTTGTATAAAAATGTTAAGAGACTTAAACCAACCACAAGGTGGTGAAGCAAATGAAATGTCATATGACGACAAATATAGACACTTCTCCATGGCAAAGATGAGACAAGTTTTAAATATTTACAACAACCGTAAACAAAAAGGTTTGGGAAACCACTCCCCCGAAGAAATGAAAAACAACCCTGACTTAGAGAAAGACTATATATTTAATAATTTAGTCAAAAGAGACAAACAAGAAAGAATGCCGGGCTTCAAACTTCAGAAAGGTGACAAAGTAAAAATAGAAATACCTAAACGCGACCCATATGAAAATACTATTGACTATGACAACAATGGGAACTCGACAGGTACTCACATTCGTGTTCGTAAAAATAGAAGAAAGTATACAAGAGAATATTATGAAGTTTTAGGCAAACATGGCAAAATGTACACACTGCAAGCAGAAGATAAAACTACTATTGTCAGACCTCGTTTCAAACTTGTCAAAGTTCAAGGTGGTATACTTTCAAAGACAGTTCCTAACAAATATAAGACAACTCCTGACGAATATGCTAAAGAAGTTGAAAATGACGACTAAGCAATTCTATACCATGCGTAAACTGTCATGTAAGGTGGCATGTAGTCTTTACTTTGTCCCGTTGTTTGCGTATATCCCGAAACGCGATGTGTATGGTTTCCATCTCCCTGAGTGTCACCCCAGAAACAATTTATAGCAAACTGAACGTCGTCTTTAACATCATATCCTTTACCTTTTTTCATTGCTGACCAATCCCAAAATTTATGCTTATGCCAACCTGCTTGAGATGTACTTAAATCTATGTAGTGACTGTGCGCAGGTAAATTTTCACCTGAAATCGTTTTACTTCCCCCTGTTTCCTTTGAAGAGTTTGCACAATACAAAAACCTGTCGACTATTTGTTCCCATGCACCAACACCAAACATTACTTGAGGACCTCTTGCTTCCATAGATGTATAAATAGAACCTACTGGGTTCATTAAATCAAACATATGAGACATTATAGGATTGTCTCTTTTGAACTTAAAATATAGTGTAACTATTTCTGGTTTCTTCTGGTTTGTGTCAGAATATTTTTTATAATATAATCTTATGTTTTCAGGGTATGTACAATCTTGACTATAATATTTATTTCTGTCATCTTCATAATAGTATACTATTCTCGTTTTTTCTATTGC